ATTCTTTAAGCAACATTTTGTCATTTTCATGGTATTAGTATTGTACATCTTATGCTAGATTTATCCCCAATTATTTCATTATTTTTTATAGTATTATAAATAGTGTTTTTTAATTTTTGGTTGTTTGTTGCTAGTATATAGAAAAACATCTGATTTTTGTATATTGATAACAGTCCTCCAGCTTTGTTAAACTTACTTATTTGGCCAGGCGCAGTGGCTCATTTCTGTAATCCCAGCCCTTTAAGGAACTGAGATGAGAGGATTGCTTGAGCCTAGGAGTCCAAGACCAACCTGGGAAACATAGCGAGACCTTGTCTCTACAAAAAATTTAAAAATAGCCGGGCATCATGGTGGCACTCACATGTAGTCCTAGCTACTGGGGAGGCTGAGGCAGAAGGATCACCTGAGCCCAGGAGGTCGAGACTATGGTGAGCCCTGATTATGACCTTGCACTCCAGCCTGAGCAACAGAGTGACACCCCAATTTTAAAAAAAGAACAATTAAACTTGCTTATTAATCCACATACCTTTTCATAAATTTCATCAGATTTTATACATAGGCAATTAAATTGTGTGAAAATAAAGATGTATTTACTCCTTTTCCAATTTGGATTTCATTTCTTTTTCTTACTTTAAGAAAAAAGGAGCCGGGCTCGGTGGCTCAGCCTGTAATCCCACGCCTTGGGAGGCTGAGGTGAGTGGATTGCCTGAGCCCACGGGTTCGAGACCCGCCTGGGCAGGCGAGACCTCATCTCTACAATAAATCAAAAAAACAGCCAGGCATGGTAGCGCGCGCCTGTAATTCTGGCTACTCGGAAGGCTGAGGCGGAAGGATGGCCGGAGCCCAGCAGGTCGAGGCTGCGGTGGCCGGGAGCGGCCACTGCACTTCAGTCTGGGCGAAAGAGTGAGACTCCAACTCAAAAAAAAGAAAAAAGGTTAGAACCTCAGTACAGTGTTGAACAGAAGTAGCCAAAACAGAATTACTTTGTATCCAGTCTTAGGGGCAAAAACCCTTCGCCATTAAGTCTGATGCTAGCTTTAAGATTTTACTAAATGCTCTTTGTCAGGTGAGGAAGTTTACTATCCTAGTTAGCTGAGGGTTTTTAACAGGAGTCAATGTTAGATTATGTCAAATGAATTTTCATGATCTGTCTTGTTCTCTGTGGTGTCCTAGTGTTACAACTCTGAAGATTATATTTTGGAAATTTTCTTTTGCTGCCTGCATCGCTTCTGTTTCCTATAGATTATTTTTTCCTGGAGATTTGTTTTGGTCTGAAATGATCAGTGATCCTTGCCTGTCTGCGCGTATTTAATGGTTAGATGCTAAGGAATTGATTAGACTGAGTGCACCTGAGTAGGGCTTGTTGACTTCTGAGTTCACTGTGATAATTGGTTGCTTTTTAAATCTTCTGTTTGGTGTTCTACTGTTTTATTGTGATCTTTCTAGATATATGTATCTTTTTGTTGAGTTAAATTTACATTATATTTCTGTGAATTCATGTTCTCATGCTGCATAAATCTCAGTCAGTATCTCATTCAACATTACCTCTCTCCATTCGCCATACTCTCTCCTTTAAGATTTTCCATTAGACATTTATTAGATACTTACATTCTGTCCTCCTATTTTAACCTCTTATCTTCCATTTTTCTGTTTTTCTTTGCTGCATTTTGAGTGTTATCTTAACACTCATCTTCCACTTCCCTAATTCTTTTTACAATGTCTAATAAGTTGATGTTTGTTTTATACCCTTGCTAATTTTTCAATAATATTTTTATTTATTATTAAACAGTTCCACATGGTTCTGTCTCTGTCAATTCCAGTGCCTGGAGTATTTGAAATTTTTAATCAATTTCTTCTGACACTTGCTTGTGTTGGATTGCTTATTGTGTGTTTGATATTTGATTGTGCACTCATATTTGGTGAAATCTGTGGGAATGCTGAAAGGCCTATTTCTTGATGTAATTTAAGATTGTTTCTGCTAGGTGTCAAAGGGCACTAGTAGCTGGGAACCACTTTAATGTCTTGGCCTGGAGATTTCCCAACCATTGAAGGGAGGGAAAATTACAACCTCAGACTTACTCATAAGGGCAGGCCTGTGATTACAAAATCCTAGAGAAGCCTCTCCACCCAGAGCATGAACAGGAAAGGCTCCCTTGTATGTCCCCTTTGCATGTAGTTGGTTTTTTTCCCACCAGCCCTTTTGTTGACATTGCAGCCCCTTTCTGGAGTTTTGGTCTAATGTGGATGGAGTTCCATGTAAGCTCCCCCATAGTAAATAAATGGTAAGTTTTACGTAGGGTAAATCAATTACAGTTTATTTAGTTCACTGGCATTCTATCCTAATGTAAGAAAAAAATACTTGAAGAACAGCATTCCTTAAGTAGAATATGGCTTTCCAACTGGTGTGCCCTGGTTTATGAGCATGTCAGAGTATTCATCCCTGTGACACTTGGGACAGTCAGAGGCCTCAGAAAGGGTATATCCAGGGGCTTATTCCCCTTGTGCTGTACAGATGATCATTTTCTGCATGTGCTAGGACCACAGAAAAGATCAGAGAACATTTCTCTAAAACAGTCTTTCAAGAAGCTTTGGAAAAGATACTTACTATATATACCTGTTTAATCATCATCTTATTTATAAGTTTATTAAAGGCTCCAGTAGACCTTGAAGTAAGCAAAATTTCCCCAAGCATATTTGAGTTGGTACTTTATTTTTCAATGTCAACAGCGTATAATTATTGAAATCAAGATGTAGGTAAATCAATACAAGTCATACTACGTAATAAGGCTGTTCACTGGCAACAAAATAAAACTGTAGCTTTCTCAACCTTTTTTATTAATCCATACAATAACTTGATGACAAATTTCATGAACCCAGAGACAGTAAGACACCTACCTAAAGAGCCATATCTTTCCGCGATTTTTTAGAATTGTTGGTGAGCAAGCAAATTAAGCAACTCCTAAGAGTAATAATTAAACATTGAACTTAACTAACTGAATTTCTCAGCAACAAAGGCAAAAGTAGGAAATATAATATACATGTATTTTCTTTAATGACTAGGCAAACTTTTAATTAAAATCGTAACATTCAAAAAAAACAAGATATCTGTAATCATTAATTTCCTGAAATTTTAAGGTTACATTCTCTGAAAGTAGGGTCAAAATAAGATACTCTGGGTTTATATTTAAGGATCAATAAACACGCATTAACTGCTAACCAAACTGGCTGTATTATAGAGAAGCCTATCCAAAAATTATAGATATAAAAGGTCACTTCTGCGTGGAGGAGGTGGGCTGTATAAACTTACCAGAACTTAGAATCTAGTCAGTGTTTATTAAGTGTGTAGAACAGATACTGTGATATGTGTTCATGGCCAGGAACAGTAGTTCATGCCTGTAATCCCAGCACTTTTAGAGGCAAGGCAGGAGGAGTACTTGATTGGAGGCCAGGAGTTCAAGACTAGCCTAAGCAACATAAAAATTTTTTTAATATTTTTTAATTTTCTCTACAAAAAAAAATAGCTAGGTGATAGCACACATCTGTAGTTCTAACTACTCAGGAGGCTGAGGCAAGAGGATTACTTGAGTCCAGGAGTTCAAGGCTACTGTGAACTATGATCATGCTATTGCACTCCAGCCTGGGCAGCAGAGCAAGACCTTGTCTCTAAAAAAAGGAAAGAAAAAAAAAAAAAAGTAAGTAGGGCTATATGTAGAAATGTTATCACCTATAATTTTTGAAATAGTTAATATCTAAAAATTATCTGAAAAGTTTTAAATTTTCCATTAAACCATCCAGAGATCTCAGCAGTGTTTTTTTTTCCCCCACCAACATGATAAAGTACCAAGGAAAGTGATTTTTTTAAAAGCATCTGTATTTTCTGGATATTCTAAATTCGGTTTAGAAATTTAATTTTAGGCCATGCACAGTGGCTCACACCGATAATCCAAGCACTTTGGGAGGCTGAGGCAGTAGTTCAAGACCAGCCTAGCCAACATCATGAGACTCCCATCTCTCTTTACATTTAAAATTTAAAAAAGAAAGAGGCCAGGCGCGGTGGCTGAAGCCTGTAATCCCAACACTTTGGGAGACCGAGGCAAGAGGATTGCCTGAGACCAGGGGTTTGAGGCCAACCTGGGCAACTTGGTGAGACCTCGTCTCTACAATATATCAAAAAATTAACCAGGCGTGGTAGCGCAGGCCTGTAGTTCTGGCTACTTGGAAGGCTGAGGTGGAAGGATCGCCTGAGCCCAGCAGGTTGACATGAGCATGCCACTGCACTCCAGCCTGAGCGACAGAGTAAGACTCTAACTCAAAGAAAGAAAGAAAGAAACTCAATTTTAGAGATGAAAGACAAATTAAGAAATCTGTTTATTATGTATATTTCGACACAGTTTTTTAATTTTAATCTTTTTTAGTTGGAGTCTCTGTTGCCCAGGCTGGAGTGCAGTGGCATGATTACAGCTACCACAGTCTCAGCCCGCTGGGCTCAGGTGATTCTTCCACCTCAGCCTCCCAGCTGTAGCAGCTGGAGCTATAGGTGCATACCACCACACCAGGCTGATGTTTTTATTGTAGAGACTAGGTCTCACCAAATTGTGGAGCTATTCTCAAACCCCCGGGCTCAGGCAATCCGCTTGCCTCCACCTCCCAAAGTGCTGGGATTACAGGTGTGAGCCACTGCACCTGGCTCAGCACAGTTTTTTTTAATCTCATCTACTTTTTTTTATAGAGAAGTGACACACCTGGTTTAAGACTTGGGTTCCATGGTATTCTTCTGATTCACATTTGGTGTTCTTTCCATCATTGTCATTTCAGTCATCATTAATCTTATTAGCTAACATAGCTAATAGATTTATGCTTCACAGAAGTCGAGGGCTCCATTTTGGCACAAACATTGAGATTTTCATTTGTTAACTCTCATTTGCCATAATTTGTGCTAAGGTCTTTTATGGGTCTTATGAGTGGTATGTCATGTATTACTGGTTTCTTCTGCTTCAAAGACTGAACATTCTTCACGATCCAAAAGGAACAGAAGACACTCATTCGGGATGTTTGACGGTTATGATAGCTGCAGTGAGGACACAAGCAGCAGCTCCAGCTCTGAGGAAAGTGAGGAAGAAGTTGCTCCTTTACCTTCAAATCTCCCGATTATCAAGAACAATGGACAAGTTTACACGTACCCAGATGGTAAATCTGGCATGGGTGAGTATTTATTCTAGCCTTCACCTGTTGTACAGCTTTATGGTTGAGGGCATATTTTCATTTGATTTCTTGTCATTTCCCCTCCTTAGAATTTTTAAAGGGTAATTTGAAGGAGTAGAGCCTGGAATTTATAATACGAGATAAGATCACTGAGTTTGTGTTTTTTCTCGTGATTTTGTCTGCCTCCTTCTGGTGGAAAGCAAGTAGAACAAAATAAAAAGCAAAGGCTATTGAGAAACTTAATGTGAACATAAATTCAGTAATTGGATAAGAACTCGCTAAGTAACTGAAAGTAACTTATAGAGTCAAAAGAGACATTCAAGGTAAGACTCCCTCATCTACAATAATTTTTTTTTTTTTTTTGAGTTGGAGTCTCACTCTCTCACCCAGGATGGAATGGAGTGCAGTGGCATGTTCACAGCCATCACAGCCTCGACCTGCGATGCAACTGTGGCTTCTTGGTGTACTCTCGAATACTTAGCTTCTAGTGTGGGGGAAAGAGCTATCATTAGAACAAGGATTAGAATTATTCTGTGTAGCTTTACAAAGCAAAACTGAAATCAAAAGATAGAAGTTGGAACCAGAATAATCTTGACTCAATATAAAGACTATTCTAGTAATCAGAGATACTAAAAAATGAAAATGCTTTCAGAGTCAGAGAATATCTTGTCACCAGGAATGTTAAAAAAAAAAAACTTCTTATAAGAAATTATTGTAACTAAGTGCAATGGCTCATGCCTGTAATCCCAGCACTTTGGGAGGCAAAGGCAAGAGGATGGCCTGAGCCCAGGGGTTCAAGACCAGCCTGGGCAACTTGGCGAGACCTCATCTCTATAATAAATCAAAAAATTAGCTGAGCATGGTGGCACATGCCTATGGTTCCAGCTACTTGGAAGGCTGAGGCAGAAGGATTGCTAGAGCCCAGGAGGTCAAGGCTGCGGTGGCCGTGAGCGTGCCATTGCACTCCAGTCTGGGCGACAGAGTGAGACTCCAATTCAAAAACAAAGAAAGAAAGAAAGTCAACAGTAAGTATCACAGCAAATGACTGCCTTAGTAAGTTAAAGTCTCCACCCAAACAGGTAAACTGGAAGAAACTATAGTGTAACCAATACAGTCAGCCTATGTATCTGTGATTTCAGGCAGTCCTTCCACCTCAGCCTCCCAAGTAGCTGGGACTACAGGCACTCACCGCCATACCTGGCTTATTGTTTGATTTTCTGTAGAGACACAGTCTCGCTATATTGCCTACGCTAGTCTCAAACTCCAGGGTTCAAGGATCCTCTTGCCTCAGCCTCTCCGAAGTGCTGAGATTATAGGCATAAGCCACCGCACCCAACCTGTTTATCTTTCTTGAGCTTTAGTTCTCATGAACCTTGTTCTTCTGGTCCTACCTTTCAGATAATTGTTGATTATGCAATAGTAGTCAAGAGTTCCACAGTTTCCCGCTATCACTGGTTAATAACAGAGCACCTGTCTCAAGCTTTGCAGCTATTCCTTCCTTTTTATCCCCTAAACATTCTTGAAAGAATCCTTGTATTGCCCTTAGCATTTTTCCAAGTTTTAGCTCTTTTTAGGTGTTAACCTTGACAGTATTTTAAAGGCTTGTCCTATACTTTGTATTAATCCTTCGTTGTGTTGCATTTCTTTTCATCTTTTGTTTACAATCTTTTCAAAAGCTGGAATCCATATGTATATGAAAATTCCCCCTCACATGGTAAGCGCTAAGGTAATGTCAGTTGAATCCGACATATTTGCGTCTTGACCCTTTGCAAAGCCTTTCTGACCTTGAGCTCCTGTCAGACTTTGTAGAGCCGTCACCAGACCATGGCATCAGACCATTGCTCTTTCCCTCCTCTGTGTAAGCTTCTCTGTCATTTGAACAGGAGATAGAAGAAATTTCAAGGCAAATTTTTAAATTAAAACTTTCAGATGGTTGGAAAACTTATTAAACTATTAGATGAAAACTGATTTTATAATATGATTATAACAGTGGTGTTTTTATTTTGTTAATTAGCTACCTGTGAGATGTGTGGAATGGTTGGCGTGCGAGATGCTTTCTACTCTAAAACAAAGCGTTTCTGTAGCGTTTCGTGTTCAAGAAGTTATTCGTCAAACTCCAAGAAGGCAAGCATTTTGGCCAGACTTCAGGTAACGGTACAGAAACCTTCTTATTCTTATATCTATTTCTGTGACTTTCACCATTTATCTGTCATTTGATTGTGTTTCACTGCACTCCACCTCTGCCCAATTGGTCAGTTATCATTTTATACCCCACATTTTTAGGATATGTGTGAGCCCAAAGTTTGTTCAGTCTATAAAATTGAGCAACTGTTTTGAATGGACAGGGCATACTATTGAGAATAAACTATGAATTGTTTGTGTTTGTGAATTAAAAATACTTATCCTTTTTCCAAATAAGCATAAATACAATAAATACCTTTTTATATACAGAAATTGAAAACATTTTCCTTTTTTCCCCTTGTTTTCTTTTGAGTTAACATGAAGGTAGACTCTTTCAGCATTTGGGGGGGGAGATGATTCAGTTTCTTATTTCCCCATTCTCCTCGCTTTGTACTTTTGAGTACAACCCATTTGATGCCTTGACCAAATGTATATGGTTAATCCAACTAAACTTTTTGAAAACATTCATGGTATGGTAAGAAAATAATCTTGCTTTAAATGTACATTATTGCCTACACAATGACTGGAGACTTGACCTTTTGATAAGTTGTTACTATTGTAGCATATAAACAACTTTTTAAAGGCATTAACTGATTTTTGCAATATATTTTATTACATGATCACATTCTTCTTATTCTCATTTAACTTATTGTGATCACCATGTAGCACTGAAAGGGTTATTTAAATCCTCCAAATTAAGGAAATACATCACTTAGATGTATTTCTATATTTCAGATAGACAGTACCTAAAGATCCTGAGCAGTGGTCTGTACCCAAATGGATGGCAGTTTGTCACACTGTGAATTTGGCCCATGATCATTTTGTCATTGACCTTTTGCGTTAGCACTAAAGGTATAAACCTCAGTCACTTGCTCTTTGAACATTAAATTGTCTTCTCTTACCATATAAATAGCAATGCTTGGCAACCTGCATGAGTGAATAACCACCAGTTCTATCTACTATAAGAAGGAATCAATTATCCACAACAGCCTATATTTTAACATCTTATGGGACATAATTTTTTATTAACATATTAATTTGCATATTGCTATTTTAGTCTTTGCCAGCTCTGCTACCCATATTAGATATCTACATTGTGGCAGAATTCCAAAAAAATTTCTCACGTAAAAGTTCTTGAATGTTTCCTCTGCTTTAATAATTTTCTAAACCTTCAATGTTTACTTAAGCAGAATGAGTAGTATGCAGTCAAGTTAAATTTCAGTGGTAGGGGGATGAAAAAGAATCCTATTTACTTAACTCTTCTTGTTTTAGGGTAAGCCTCCAACAAAGAAAGCAAAAGTTCTTCAGAAACAGCCTTTAGTTGCTAAACTAGCTGCGTATGCTCAGTATCAAGCTACCTTGCAAAATCAAGCAAAGACGAAAGCAGGTAATATTGGTGAATGTAACAGAGGTGAAATACTTGCTATTGGTTCATCTAGTTTTAATGAATAACATTTTAATTTTGGATTCTATTTAAGCTGTTTCTGTGTCCTGTTAGCCCATTATGACACTAGACTTCCTGGTGGTGAACTTTATTTCAATAAATTACTCTAGAAGAGAAGAGTTGCATGCACAAGTTCCAGTGCTTGAGGCAATCTCCTGAATTTTTTTAATTTGCTTTATTTACTTTTTACATACTGAATCTCCACACTGTGGATGGTAGGGATCATTGTGGAGATAATGAAGAAAGAAATAGGACATTTAGCAGGCTTCAAAGGGATTGAGGAGAGGAGAGTAATTAGAGGAAGAAATTGAGGAGAGGACCATTTCTAATAGAAGATTCTTAATAGGAGCACAAAGATGAGGAGGTAAGTAGAAAGTGAGGTTGTGGAAAACCCTAGTGGGGGTGTAGTAGGTGGTAGGTACTGGTAGGTACTCCCTGAGGTCCATAGTAAGGGCTGGGTGGGAATAAAAACACAAAAGCAGCCATAGCAGGGCTCATTTCCTGGACATGTCTTTCGGCTGTTCCAGCTTTCCCAACTAGAGAGCTTATATTCACTTGCCAAGGAGCATGATACACACACACACGTGCACACACGCGCACGTACACACGACTTTAGAAATCGCTGTTTCCAAATATAAGTTAAAGCTCTTGTTATTTAGACAAGTTATTTGATCCTTACAGAAAAAAAGGAAACTTTTTTTTAAGGGGAATAAACTAATTTTATGTTCTTTCACAACTTAACAAAAATAGCCTTCTTATAAATAAAAGCTTTGAGAATTGTAATATATCTACATTTATTTCATTTCAGCAGTCTCCATGGAAGGTTTCAGCTGGGGAAACTACATCAATAGCAATAGCTTTATAGCAGCTCCAGTTACCTGTTTTAAGCATGTAAGTATGGAGTTTCTTGACTTATTTTGAAATGTTTAGTCATTATTTAAGTCTGAAGGTACAATAACACACATCCTACATTTAGAAGGTGTTTGTTTTATACCTTGTAATTGAAATGCTTCTGTTTTATTAATTATACTTACTAATAGCTAAAAATAACTTCTATAAGGTTACAAGTAAAAGCATCCTATTGCAAATTGAAGTTATTTTAAACAGTACTAGTCTCATTCAATTTTTATATTTAGTTAACTATATAAAATTGCTAGTTTAATATATCAAAAATACTTGCACTTTGACAGTGTCATATTGTTAAACCTAATAGAATCCATCAATCACGTGTGCTACCTAAACCTTTGATTTGACTTGATCATTTACAAAAGGATAACTCTTCCTTTGTTTTGTTTTTGCCTCCAAATGTAAAAATCACAAGAACAAAAAAACTGTTAGTAATGTAGTATCATGAACTGAAATACATGATCTGTATGAAAAAGACTTTAAAAGGTGTTCTTTTCAACAAGTAGTTACAGAACATCTGTAGTAATTCAGAATTATGTTTAAAATGTATCTATCTGATGGCAAGTTTTTTCCTTTTTATTCTATTTCTTTTGATTTGGTTATCTGTGATTAATACTCCAATATTTAAAGATTCTATCTTCTACTGTATAAAAAAATTTAAGAAATTAATGAGATTTTGTTTACACTTAATATTTTGTTAATTTAGAGCTTTATTTTTTAATAACAGCATGTGAATGAAACTGAGCTTGAGCTCCTGCTGTGGAAATCCCAATGAATTTCTACCCATTCATGGCCAGTAAAGGATTTTGATCGAAGTCAAGCATATTAATTCAGTGATAGAAATATAAGTCAAACCAGGCACAGCAGCTCAGGCCTGTAATCCCAGCACTTTGGGAGGCCGAGGTGAGGCTTGTCTGAGCCCATGCGTCCAGGACCTGCCTGGGCAACTTGACGAGACCTCGTCTCTACAATAAATCAGAAAATTAGCTGGACATGGTAGTGTACACCTGTAGTTCTGGCTACTTAGAAGACTAAGGCGGAAGGATAGCCTGAGCCCAGTGGGTCGACACTGGAGTGGCCTTGAGTGTGCCACTGCAGTCCACCTGGGCAATGGAATGAGACTCCAACTCAAAAAAAAAAAAAAGAAATAATAAGTTAAAGCTTAGCTCATTAATTTGCTAGCTTGCTTTCTTGGAAGTATAGGTGTTAGTTAAGCCTTTAGTCAGTGACATACTGACTATACAAACCAACCTGAGTGGAGTCTTACTTATCTCAGTGTAAAGTAGGTGATTTCTTTTGCTTTTATGTTGATAATTGTGTCACATGTGAGCTGTATTCCATACACAGCAACAGCAGCTTTAAAGAGAACTATAAAACAAATCTTTAGCTCTCTTCCCTTGGGTTAGTGCTTCCCTAGTGCTAAGAAACTTAGACAGATTAAGTTCTCAGTTACAGTAACTCTTTTATCTCAGATTTTTGGAACATTTGTCTGTTGTCTCCTTCTGAATGGCCTTTCATATCTGTTTTTATGTCATAAACCATATCAAACCATTTTCTATAAGTAGTCAGTATGTTAAAAAGAATAGCATTGAGTCCCAAAAGCGTATTTTATTTCCTGCCCAAATCTTTGAATCACTGTACTATGTTAAAGTTCTTTGTGAAAATATCTGTTGTAATAATGATGTTTTCAACTTTGCCTTATTAAGATTAAAATGTTCCTTCATATATAACAGAGCAACTAACCTTAGCCACATTGTCAATAATGACCATGTGAAGCCACCTGTTTCTCACATTTATGTGGACTCAGCCTCTTCCTGTCCTTTCTTCACTGCTTTCTCCTCAATGGGAAAATATCTGTGTTAGGAATTCCTTAGTATGTTTTTGTACAAAGAGTTTGCTCTTTTACCTTAGTTGGCATCTTCATTTGAAACCACGTGGTTTAGGGGGTCAGACCTCAAGATGCTCTGATGTTCTTTTAGAGTTGACTCTTCATGGTTCTCCCCTTGAGATAGTTTTCTGGGTCTCTAAGGAAAATTAGTGGTTTTGGCTTTAGAAAACCCACTGTCAGGGGCTGATTGCACAGGATCCTGCCTCATATCATTGACGTCTTCTAAAACTTGACACCTGCTCTAATACTGGTTCACCAGTAAGGAAGACCCCCTTCTTCCAGATTCTGCATCTGCCTTCTCTTCCACTTGAGCACAATATGGGAGCCTTTCCCTATTCTTCAGGGGTTCTTTTCCGAACATAATTTACCAAGAAACATCCAGTATGTAAAATGGAAGCAGAGCTGATTTGAATCACAAATTGGGATGCGAGCAGTGTCGGAGCCCTGACTTCCTGGCTTCTTTAGCTTAACCCAGTCTCTTCGTCTGGAGTGAGAATCCCAGATAAACCCTTTATATTTTCTTTTTTTATTGTTTTTGTTTTAAGTCGGAGTTTTACTCTGTCACCTAGGCTAGAGCGCAGTAGCATGCTCACAGCTGCCTCAGCCTCAACCTACTGAGCTCAGGTCTTTTTGCCTCAACCTTCCAAGAACTGGAACTACAGGCATGCACCACCATGCCTGTCTAATTTTTCTTGATTTACTGTAGAGGCAAGGTCTCGCTAAGTTATCTAAGCTAGTCTTGAACTGCTGGACTCAGGCAGTCCTCTCGCCTCAGCCTCCCAAAGTGCTGGGATTACAGACATGAGCCACTGCACCTGACCAGTAACCCTTTCTATTTTCTAGCACCTAGATATTACTGTGATTAGTTCTAAAATCACAGAATTTCAAGGTAGAATTTTCCTTTTTTGGTCTGTCTTTAAACTTCTGAGAATGATGTTTCTGCAGAGTGGATTATAGGACTATATCCTTTTTTAATAATTGCTATAACTATGCATAATGGTTTATACTCAGTCACTCAACTAAAACAATATTTGACAATTTTTTTTATAATCAGCAGTGGAAATTGAGCCCCACTTGCTATTTAATATATCTGCTTCTTAGAAATCTGTATATTATGTTTGCCATATATCTGACATATTTTTTATTTTATCCAGGTAATAGCTTTCAGACCTTTTACTTAAGCATCAGAATTCCCCTTTTTTCTAATAAAAATCTTACTCAGGCTTCAAAACACAGTCAGGATCAGGATTAGGAGGAAGCTGCACTGATGCGTCTGACAGACATGGGTGGTGCTGCCTAAGTCTTGGCCCCTGACACTTGGACACCCCTTGCTTAGCAGTCCCTGAAGTTGGAAACCACTGAATTGGAAAAGTCTCCAGATTATTAATACAGTGCAGTACTGCATGCCAGTTAGGTGCCCTGTATATATGAATTTCACAAGTTGGCTGTGCATGGTGGTTCAGGCGTGAACGCCTGTAATCCCAGCACTTTGGGAGGCAGAGGTAAGAGGGTTACCTGAGCTCAAAAGTTCTCAACCAGCCTGGGCAATGTGACTAGACCTCATCTCGACAAAAAAATCCAAAATAAAGTTAGCCAGGAGTGGTGGCATGTGCCTATAGTTCCAGCTACTTGGCTGAGGCAGAAGGATCTCCTGAACCCTGCAGGTCGAGGCTGTGGTGGCCATACGCGTGTCACTGGACTCCAGTCTGGTTGACAGCGATACTCCGACTCAAAAAAAAAATCCACAAGTTATTGTCTTCTATTAATAGTTTATTTTGGGGCCAGACACAGTGGCTCAGCCTAAAATCCCAGCACTTTGGGAGGCCCAGGCAAGAGGATTGCCTGAGCTCAGGAGTTCGAGACTACCCTGGGCAACTTGGCGAGACCAAGTCTCTACAATAAATCATAAAAAATTAGCTGGGCTTGATGACATGTGTCTGTAGTTCCAGGTACTTAGAAGGCTGGGACAAAAGGATCACCTGAGCCCAACAGGTTGAGGCTATGGTGTCCCTGAGCGTGCTACTGCACTCCAGCCTGGGGGACAGAGTGAGATTCCAACTCAAAAAAAGAAAAAGTTTTTTTGGTTTTTTTGGTTTTTTTTTTTTGAGTTGGAGTCTCACTCTGTCACCCAGACTGGAGTGC